ATGAGTGAGCAGAATAGACTTATATACAATAGAATACGCAGTCTACATTAGAGGCATATAGGCGAAGCGGTTTACTGTGAAATTAGGCCTTACTAGCATTCACCTATTGAATATCCAATACCGGACAAGTCAGACTGTCTAGCAATGTAGTACAACAAATATTCATAGCCTCAAATGATTGTACCTGCTTGTCTATCGCTGCCAACAGCACAGCTAGCCGTCTACCTCGTTCGAGACCTATGTAAAACCCAACAGAGTCTACTCCCCAGAAGCTGATATTGGACTCTTTTTTCCTTCAGAATCATAACAAAACACGCTTATACACAGGCAAATAAAAGAGCTTCTGCCATCTGCCAATCCTCCATAATATTCCTCTCTCTGCTACCCCTCCATCATTTTCCCAGGAAAACTCCAACCCTCCCGTATCTAGTGGTCTGCCTTTTGCTTCTCAATTCTCGCGTCAATGTCCTTCAACAGACTCACCAGGTCCGCCTCTTCGCCCTCAACCTCGAGCCCCTCCTTCACCCACTCCCTCGCCTCCTGCAGCCGCGCCATCTCATACAGGCAGCGGCCTCTGCGCCACCACGCCTTCGCGTTGCCCACCCTCCGCGCCTCCACGCTCGCCAGCCCGTCGACCGCGCCCTCGGGCCAATTGAGCAGCGCCATGTGCGCCTGCGCGCGGTTCGCCAGCAGGCCCGATACCTCCTCGCGCACCAGCGCACTCGGCTCCCACATTGGCCGCTGCAGCGCCATCTGCAGGCCCAGCGTGTACATCTTGATCGCCTCGTCGTACTTGCCCTTGCGGTACTCGTTGTTGCCGTTGTCGCGCAGCTTCGTCACCTGCGCTGTGCGCTTCGGGTTCACGGGAATCGGCGGTGGCGGCACGTTGCCCGGCGTCTCCAGAGCTAGCAGCGCCCGGTGCAGCTCGTTGAGCTGCGCGAGCTCGGCGTTGAGAGCGCGTGAGTTTCGCCCCGTCAGGACATCTTTGGAGTCGCTGGAGAGGGTAATGGGGAGGAGGTCAAAGTGTTCGAGGTCGGACATGATGGCTGGTGTCTCGTATGGGGTTTCTCCCGAAGATTTCTTTTCTTCAGATATACGACTTTTATCGATATGTCATATACCGATCGCGTCTTAAGATATTGTACAGAACTCTTTACGTAGTGCAATGGAAATTCGGAGTCGTCGTTGGAGCTTCTGTAATTCCTGACAAGCAGACCCGCGACAAAGGACACTTCACAGCGCCACGCCCGTTGGCGGGCTATCTTATCGGCACATGATTTGGTAGATGGGTGGATCCCCGCATTCCACTTTACATCTCACACACATGGCCAACGACATGAAATTCAAGGTGCAGCGGGAGCTGCCAAGGTATTCTACAAATGGTACCGAAAAAAAGTACGAATGCATTGCCCGAGTTACTGTTTCGTTTATATAGCGACTGCCATTTCACTGGAACCCGTCTAGTTGAAACATTACGCTTTCCCGCATACCACCGTTTCTAACGGAGCAAGCCGAGCGTCACGCAACGGAAGTCAATGTTGCCATGCCGTCATAGTCCTTTAGATCTACCGTGCGATGGAAAAGGCAGATAAAATCGTCATGAGAATTGTATTTCATTTCTACTCCTATGCAGTAGCCCACATCCTAATGCTCCCTCTCCAGCATTATCCCTTCTTTCCTCTTCATCCACAACAGACCGAGAAGGAAGAAAAAAGAGGCCAAGTCGTAAGTTGGCAGGGATAAGATAACCGTTCATTTTATAAGCCAAATAAAAAAACATTGACCGGTTACATATTTGTTCTTTTATATGTTTTTTTCTTGTTTGTCTTTCCGTCGTTTCCATTTTTTATAGGCTTCCGCACACCGTCCAGCCATCCACCATTCGTCGATCATGTCGCATTCGTTCACGGAACCACAGGTTTGGTCTTGTGCCGTATGTGAAGTTTGTGTTGAGATTGTTGTTGTTCTGTACTGGGGGTTGATTTGATTTCCTTTCGTCTTCTTCCTCATCACCTCTCTGCCGGTCCAATTTTGTGACAGAAAAGGCGCAGTCCAACCAAAACAAAAGAGTTTCTCATAGAACATCGGGATGAGAACGATCATCCGTTTCTTCCCCCAAAATCAAAAACCGTGCCACCATCCCTGTGCCATCACGTAGCAAGCAGCAAAACCATGTTGTATTCCCTGTGAACCACCGCGCCAATCTAATGAAACGCACGACAAATGACTAGACAATGCGAAAGCGACATTCCTCTCTCAAAGCCCCGTAGAGCTTCAGAGACGAAGACCTGCCACTTAGTAGCCGAGAGCAGCAAGCTTCTTGGTAGCCTGGCTCTTGCCGGCGGCGGTCTTCTTGGCGTCGGCGATTTGGCGGGCGGCAACACGCTTGCGCTCGTAGTAAGCGGCGCCCTTGGCCTTTCTTCTCTCCTCCAGGCGGGCGACGACGTCCTGGTACTTCCAGCCAACCTCGTGGCTGAGACGGCCGACGGTGCAGTACTTGCGGCCGGGCTGCAGACGGAGAACGCGGAGGGCCTGGGGAACGACCATCTTCTTCTTCTTGTCGTAGGGGGGGGGGACACCCTCAAAGACCTTGAGGCGCTCCAGGGCGGCGGCACCGCGGGCAGTCTTGTGAGGGATCATGCCACGGACGGCCTTGTAGAAGATGCGGGAGGGAGCGCGGAAGTGGAAAGGACCTTGGCAAGTTAGATATAGGCCGCATAAAAAAGACAGATACAAGGAACTTACCACCGCGGGTAGGGTTGAAACGGGTCATCTTGCGGAGGTAGGCGTGGTACTTGACTGTGCGAGGTCAGTATCGATTCGGTCCACGATTGAGAATTGCCAATGCGCTCGGCAACTGAATGCGCCTCGAGGCGCGCCTAGACAGGTGCAATGCAACGTACGCTTTGAGCGGAAGAACTCGCCAGAGATGTTGAGGGCCTCGCAGCGGACAACGACAACCTTCTGGCCGTTGAGGAGCTGCTTAGCAACAATGGAGGCGAGACGACCAAGGAGGTGGCCCTTGCCATCGACGACGACCTGTAGAACATTTGCATTAGCCCAATGCTCTGTAGCTTTCCTCCGCTGTGGTTTCGGTCCTTCCAAGCCCGTCAAGTCCCAAAGCAACGGTTCATCGAACGATTCGCGGGGAGATGCACGGCCTAGCACGGCGGCGAAGTCGGTGTGGTTCGTGAGATTTCTGCAATGTCGAATGCAGTTTCCCATGCGCCGTGCATATAGTCGCTTATCCCATGAATCTTTCGAGATCCGTCGCAGTGGTTTTGTGCGGGCGTTGAAAGAGGCGTCCACCGAATATAGTGATTACTCACAACTGGCTCGAAGGAAGACATCGCAACCGGTTTCTTTTAGATGTGAAATGAAAAGAAGAAAGAAAGAATGTCCAAGTCGACCAACTTTGAACAACAGCAAACTCCCGTGTCGAAAACGAGAATCTGATTTCCTGGTGTATGCTGTGGGTTAGTGTGTCGTTCCCTGGGCGGAAGGAAGTGGTTCGCGATTTACGAAAGAAAATCCAGTTGAGCACACTGTGCTTGAGGGCTTGGGTTGTGCCTCTTGCTGGAGGCGGCGCTAGCTGTAATTGGTCTAGGGCCAGATTTTTAGCAAGCGAACAGGGCTCGCACTTGAAGAGTGCTTAGGGCACCAAGACCTATCCGCCCAGCTTACCGAAGATTGACCGGGCCGCCCGACACCACGGAAATCAAGTAGATGGCACGTGATTTCTCCCAAATCCGCCTGTTGATGAAGCGTGTTTAGCAGTTTAGCAGTGGGCCTATGCATGTCACTGGCGCTGCCCGTGCCGTGCAACCATGGTCGCGCTACAGTAAGCACAAGGTAGTCACACATGTCAAAATCACTGTGCGCGTCCAAAACGGTCGATTCAGCTTGCTAGTATTGGCCCGTTCTATGTAGACCAGTCTCTTCCCCATAAACAAGCCATCGTCCTCTACCTAATTAGTGGTGAGCTAAACCAACGATCGAGTCTACCTGTAATCGTAAAACTGCCCGTTATTACGCAGCCCAATGCTATCCATGCCATGTTGAATACAAAGCTAGTCTAACGCTTTCTCGTCTTCCGATTTAGACAGCGCCAACTTTTCGCTATCCGCACAGTCTATCGCAAACATGATCAATCCAATGATCAACGAATATAACAGATGAAATGAAAAAAAAAAAATACAACAATATCTAGTTTTCGGCAGCGGCGTCAACTTGCTTCAGCACTTCCTGCACGCGCCGGATCGTGTCCTTGCGGTTTTGTCGCACATCCGGGTTGCCCTCTGGGTCAGCCTCGTCCAGCTTGATCAGGATCTGCGCTAAAACACTCTCAGTCAGCCTGGTATGCTCGTCTTTGCGCTTGTTGGCGTCGGCGGGCGGCTTGGCAATGAAGTCTCTGCAGATGGGCAGCCATTTGGTCGTAAACTGGTCTGCGAGGTCATCAATGAGTCTTTGGCCAGCGGCTCCGGGCACGGGTGAAGGCGAAGGCGACTTGGCGCCACCAGTCGAGATGCTGTCGCGAGGGCTGTTGACCGAGTCGCCGTCGCCAGCATTGCGCTTCTTGGCCGCCTTGCGCCTCTTGTTCTTTCTCTGGGCCTTGCTTTCGTTGGCAACGGATATTTCATCGGCGGAGCCGTGGGCGCGGTCGTCGACTTGGGGCAGAATGGCCATGATAATGCTGTTGTTCCTGACGCCGTAGTCGCGCACGGGTGCCGTTGGCTCCTTGAGCTGGCTGCCTTTGTATATAAACTTGAGTGAGAGCCAGTCGCGCTCCGGCAAATCCATTACGAGACCCGCGCGCTTAGCAATATCGCGGACTTCGAGCTTGCCGTCGCTAATGGAACGTGGAGGGAAATGTGTGGGGTAGGTGACATTTCCTCTTTTGATCAGTAGCACATCATCATCCGGAGAGGACGAATGCTGCCGGCGCGTGGTACCAGAGGCACCCAGGCCGGCTTCGTCAAGATCCTGTGAGGTAATATATGTGAAGTCGTCATCGGTAACGGTAGGCACACCGCCGGGCTGGGAGCTGAATGGACTCCGGGACCATCCGTAACGAGACATTGTTACTGGAACGGCAACGAGGGCGGCGGCGGCGGTGTAGATGAGGGATGGGTGAACGCCGAGGGTGGAAGAGATGTACTGGTTGGATGAGTCGAGAGTGGCGGAGAGGGAGTCAATGGTGCCGGTGATGTAGCTGCCGATGTTCTGCAGGGCACCGGAGGATGCCACGGCGGCTCGGGTAGAATCCACCTTGTCGATGGGGGGCAAGGTGGCCCTGTGACAGGACACCTTTTTTTGAAGTAAGCCGGTTCCTTGATGCGTGGGAGGCGGGGGATGTGGTGGAGGATGTAATGTGGTGGAGGGTGTGATGTAGTGGAGGATGTGGTGTCGTGTCGTGTCGAGTCAGGCGGAGGGTGCTGTCGAAGACCCGGAGGAGGACGGGCCTGGAGGCAGAGTCGGCCGAGTACTGTTGGCTGTTGTGCGACTTGTCGTGATCAGGTAGCAGCGCGCGTCCAGGGTCGACGAGAGGTGGCGCGGGGTTGGGCAGCAGTCGACGCAGCTGAAGATGAAAGCCGGCAGACAGGGTAAAAGTTGATCATCAGGGAAGAAGGTGCATGATTCTTTTCAGCGGGGCGCAGTGTGGCTGCGCAATGGCTACCCGGTAAGAGAAGCTGATCTGGATAGCGCACGTATGAATGTGTGCGATTATTTTTCAAGTCCATTTTGGGTTGAATTCAGGTTCATCAAGTTATCAGTCATGTTAATTGAGGAGCTGTCGCGCGTTTTATCCCGCTGCCCGGCGCGGAAGCTGACGATGGCGTTGTTTCGTTTATGGTTAAAAGTTGTATGAGCGATTGAGTTGGGGCACAAACATAAGCTCAACCAGATCTGGCTGCATGGCGTTACTTTCTATTTGACAAGACGTATCTTCAATCTGCAATGCAATTCGCACCAAGATCTAGATAATGCGTCACAGGTGAATATTGATTGACGAGATCGGCGCGCCACGGGGATTGCCTGGATGCCCATCATAGAAGTACTAGTCAGCCATCAGCCTCGAGACGCTCCACGAGGAGAGCCCCTGCGCCATAATACAGGGGCAAAGGGGATTGCCGTATCTACGAAAAACAGTGAGAGAGACCACTAACCAAAAGGACTAGTTAGGTACCCAGATACCTAGGTATTATCCGCGCACTCAGAAACAGGAATACACAAGGCGGAGAAGGAGGCCAAAAAAAGTGCAATTGCATCATTGAAATCCACAACCTATTTCGTCACCCCGAAAATCCAGTGGCCCGCTGCGATTCGTCCAGGGCTCGATTTCAAATCTGGCCCCTGCCGCCCCCCCTACAATTGCATCACCCATTCCATTTTCTACTCCGGTTCTTTTTTTTTTTGCTGCATGCAAATGCAAACCACCACGCAAGCATTTCGCGCAGCGTTGCCTCTTCGCCGCCGCCCCGCTTTATTATCGTTGACTGTGGTTACACCAGTCTTCCTTCATCATCAGGTCCCCGCCAAACGATTCCATTCGCTGATCCCCGCCGCGAAGCTACTTAACCACACGTACCGCCGTCCATCGACTCTCCCCTTCCATATGAATTTCAACTTTTTTCGAAACCTATTTTCATCTCCCTCTTCGCAGTCTGTCGCCATGGCCTCCCAAAAAGCTCAGAAGCTCATTGACGAGAACCCCGTCAGTAAGTCATTACCACCACCGCCACCAACACAAGCACGGCTGCCCACGTCCATGCCGTCATACCCCTCCATGCGCTACGCCAACCTCTGCTACAGTGCGCCAATTTGCACGCAGCTCACTGCAGTCACCCACGAGTGATGTGCTGACAATTTTCTTTCTCTAGTGGTCTTCTCCAAGTCTTACTGCCCGTACTGCAAGGCGACCAAGAGTCTGCTCAGCTCCCTTGATGCAAAGGCCAAGGTTGTCGAGCTCGACGAAGAGGGTAGGCTCACTCTTTCACCCTTCTTGCTCAGAATACTAACGGGGTAAAATAGCCGACGGCAATGCTCTGCAAGATGCTCTCGAGGGAATTTCGGGTCAGCGCACCGTCCCCAACGTCTACATTGCGAAGAAGCACATTGGCGGCAACTCGGACGTCCAGAGCCTCAGCAGCTCCGGCAAGCTCAAGGCCCTCCTCGCCGAGGCCGGCGCTATCAAGGCGTAAGCGAACGAAACACACCGCATACCCCATTTGCTTCTTTTTAAGCCGGTGAAACCGGTCGGCAAAGCTAGAAACTGATCTGGACTTGGTTTCAGTGCACGATTATAGAGTGGCGTAGTGTCGGTATACATTTATTAGATACAGCACCATCACAATGATAACGATTCCCATCAGCTCATCTATCATTCAAAGTACTTATTTGCGTTCTGTGACTGTTTGCCTTAACGGTATTGGCTGAGGCTACGTTAGAACCGTTAGTTTACACATAATTCAAGTGTCACGTATGCTAACATGTGTGATTTAAAAACCATATCGCTGAGTGGTTTGATAAATATGCTACTCGTCGCCGCGAGCAGTCTATGCCCTTTTGGTGACACCCGACAGTATACCCCCCTCCTAATAATACAAGTTGTGCAAGTCTCACACTGTACAAGCTCGAGCGCATTACCTACGCGTCTACACCGCATGTGTCGCTACTACCTGTGTCGCGACCGTGCCCACCGGCCGCTCCACAAACTCCATGACACCCTCGACAATGTTCTTGCGCGCCGGCTCCGACGCCACCTTGCTGCCGGCCAGGTAATTCAGCCACAGCAGGTGACTGAGCCTCGCGTCCGCTACCGTGCCCAGCACCTCCCGCTGAGGCTTCTTGCCGCCAGACGCGGACCCCGCGTTGTACGTGACCGCCAGCGCGCCGCTCTCGTTCCGACAAAGCAGCATCTCCTTCTTCTTGGGCACCTGGCCGCGGTTGAAGAGCATCTTGAAGTCCTTCATGGCCGCACCAAACGCCTCGTCGCTGTACGCCGCCTTATCCAGCGATGAGCGGGCTTGGATCGCGCGCACAAAGCCGTCACGGAGGTGGTGAAAATCGGTGTCGCGGACGGGGGAGATGCGGATGATGCTACGCAGCTTGGTGTCGCGCAGGATGGCGTCCCACAGCGCTTCGCCCTCGACGGGGTCGAGCAGGCGCTGGCGCAGCGTGTCCTTTTCCGAGGGAATCAGCGTCGTGGCCACAGGGTTGACGTTCTTGACGAGGTAGTGCTGCAGACGGGCAATGTCCTGCGTCGCAACGTAGAAGCCGACGAGGTAGACGTTGATGCCGATGAAGGTCACGCTGCGCATGCCCAGGCCGACAAGCGTGTACTGGGTGCCGGTCGAGTCGGAGATGGAGGCCGCGAGGGGACTCTGCTGCTTCGTGTCGAGCGGCAGGCTGACGTCGATGGTGCGCGGAAACAGCGGCACAGTGCTATCACCCGTGGGGACAACCTCGTTGCCGTCCTCGTCATGAAGAATCACCTTGCGCAGCTCGCCGGCCTCGGTCTTGAACTGTTCTGTCGGTATACTGGGCGGAGCGTCAAACTTGACGGCCCCCGACGACGACTTGCCTTCTTTGGCATTCTTCTGGTCAATGGCCTGTTTCAGCTTCCACGCCGTATAGATGAAGGAGATGACGCCGGCGACGGCGCCCGCGGTGAGAAAAGCCGTGCGGTTGCGCTCATAGTCGCGGCGCTTCGAATGAAGCTTGTTGAGGTCAAATTCCTGTGTCAATTTGGACGAGGCGCGCAATGGCGAGGTGGACGAGGAAAGGCTGCGGCGGGCGGCGCGGATCGTGGGCTGGCGAGCCGCCTGCTGGAGGGGTCGGAGTGTCGCGCGGCGAAGCATTATTAGCGATTGGATTTCAACCGCGGCGAGGAAACTGCTGTTTTGTTGTGAGGCACCAATTCGGCCGCTGATTGAGACGCGGATTGATGGGAGACAAGATGAGCTGAGCCAAGTTTCCAGCAATGTGGTGCCAGATCTACGTCATTCGAGGGCTTCACGTGACTCAATGGCGTCGTGAATCGCGGCCAGGAGCATGGCTGATAAACTTATCGAGATGCCGATGCAGAAATTGGTGAGAGGAAGTCTGAACAATTTCTACTAAGATTTCGTAACTCTCTATTGGAGAGTGAGTCAAGGCAGCCTGCGCGTGGTGTGGCCTGCATTTGATTTGGCCTGCAGCATTCTTGCTTGACAGCTGTTTGGCTATCTGGATTGGCCTCAGCCACAAGGCGATATTGACATACATGAGCTCCCCAGCTCTTCATTTTTTCTTTTTTTCCAGGGAACAGTGGACTAGTTTGCCAAGATTTTAAGCACACGACTGAAACGGTTCCAAACGCCAACTGCAAATAAGCTTGCCCCAGAGCTGGGCGACGCATGGCCCCAAGGCCCCAAAGAAAAATTGACCTCAAGCCCCGTTCAAATTCTCCAGCAACTACGTCGACAATGTCGCGGACAATTAGTCGGGGAATTACGAAGTCGGGATAAACTGGAGACGGAGCGTAATGGGAATACAAATTGCAGTCGTCAGACTCCCAAGGCAAAATCTATAACCAAAAACCTCTTCACGACTAAACGGTATCGGCCCTGAGAGGTATTTCGGCAAGGACAACGACAAAAGACACATCGACGGTGAAATCAAGTTGTGCATCGGAAACAATGACATCTCGGACATCTTTCTCAACCACGCATCGGTCCCGACCGCGGGCTTGACAAAGGCGTTGGCTGTCGGGATGCTGTTCATCACTAGGTATCCAAACAGTGGGTGTACGCTCCAATGATCACCACCGCTAATATGTAAATGGCGTCCGAAAATTCCCCCACAACTCGGCCCGACAATATAGAGGCGGCCGATCGTAGGGGAGCGCGGGGGGCTCGCTGACGGCTGTTGCGGCCCTGGCCATTTTATAGACTGCCGTTAGGGCGTCGTCTTGACCGACTTGTCTACCTATCGAATAGAGCACCCGGCGCGACAAGCCTAAGAACCTTACTGAAAGACTTCCTACACTGTACTTTCCTTGTCGTGCTTTATTCCATCTACTGAGCTCCGTCTATACCTCCAGGCTCAAGCTCCGCCACCTGCAGAGACCAAGGTAGATTAGCAACATTAGCTACTAGATTGCGGCCGGAACCCCACCGGATTATTAACATGACGGCAATTCAACATTTAGACCGTCCACGCGGGGAATATTGTGAGGGGTCGCAAGAGCTCCGAAAAAAAGTTGGAGTAAGTAGCCCCGAAAAACAGCTAGCAGAGTCGCATGATTGATCGGACGACAGTCAAATATCTGCGGTAGACCTATGCCGTTGACAAACATCTTTCTCCCTCTTCTCTTTTCTTCCTCTCGATTCCATCTGTGGTGCCTGATCAGGTCTTCCTATTGTACTCGGTGCTGAGAAGATCTCACTTACACGGACGTCACGATGCGCCGTTCCATTCCCCCCCATGGCTTCACTAGCCTAGCCTTGGTGGCGGCGGGCCTCTTCCCACCCGTGCTGGCCGATACATCTCAAGTCCAGAGTACGAACCTCGCCTGCTCCAATTACGCAGCCGCTTTCGTAATTCATCACCACTGACGTCGTCCCTAGCCATCGCCGTCGACGGCACCTCCTTTGCCCTCAACGGCGAGGGTGTATCGTACCGCTTTCACGTTGACAACATGACGGGCGATCTTCTCGGCGATCATTTTGGTGGTCTCGTCCCCGAAAACGGGCTCATGCAGCCCATCGGCCCCATTCAGGGCTGGGTGACGGTCATTGGGCGGCAGCAGCGCGAGTTCCCGGACCTGGGCCGCGGCGACTTTCGCACGCCGGCGTTCCAGGTCCAGCAGGCGTCGGGCACAACGGTCAGCGCACTCAAGTACCAGTCGCATGAGACGATGAGTGGGAAGCCCGCGCTCAAGGGCTTGCCGTCGACGTTTGGCGGCGACGAGAACGTGTCAACGGTCGTGGTGCACATGTACGATAATTACAGCGCCATCGCCGTGGACCTCATGTACAGCATCTTTCCCCAATATGATGCTATTGTCCGCAGCGTCAACCTGACCAACAAGAGCAATGGAAGCATTACTCTAAACAAGCTCTCGAGCTTCAGCGTGGACTTGCCGTTTGGCGAATACGACATGGTTCATCTGAATGGTGATTGGTACCGCGAGGCTCACAAGGTCCGCCGCCGCGTCGAGTACGGCTCGCAGGGGTATGTATAGCACTCTACATGGGAGCATCACTACTAACATCTACAGATTCGCTAGCAATGCGGGCTACTCATCCGCCCAGCACAATCCCTTCATGGCTCTCGTCGACCCCAGCACCACCGAGACGCAAGGCCAGGCCTGGGGGTTTTCGCTTGTCTATACGGGTGCGCACTCGTTTGAAGTCGAGAGGGGATCCGAGGGCCTGACGCGGGCCATGATGGGTGTCAACCCGCTATCCTTTTCCTGGCCGCTGGCGCCCGGCGAGACGTTTACGTCGCCCGAGGTCGTCGCCGTCTACTCGGACCAAGGTTTGGGCGGCATGTCGCGCAAGTTCCATCGCCTGTACCGAAACCACTTGATCAAGAGCAAGTTTGCGACAGAGACGCGGCCGGCGCTGCTCAACAGTTGGGAAGGCTTGTACTTTGACTACAATGAGACGACGATTGCGCGATTGGCGCAGCAGACGGCAGAATTGGGCGTGCGCATGTTTGTCCTCGACGATGGCTGGTTCGGCGACAAGTACCCACGCGTGTCGGACAATGCTGGGCTGGGCGACTGGGTGCCAAATCCTGCGCGGTTCCCATCGGGTTTTGACAAGCTCATAAACAACGTCACGCACCTCAAATCGGGCAACTCGTCCCAGGACCTCAAGTTTGGCTTGTGGTTCGAGCCAGAGATGGTCAATCCGAACTCGACGCTCTACGTGAAACACCCGGACTGGGCCATGCATGCGGGCGACTATCCGCGTACGCTGGCGCGCAATCAGCTAGTGCTCAACTTGGCACTGCCAGAAGTGCAGGACTATATTGTCGACGCGGTGTCCAAGATTCTCAAGAGCGGTGCTATTTCCTATGTCAAATGGGATAACAATCGTGGCATCCACGAGATGCCCCATCCGTACACAGATCATCAATATATGCTGGGTGTCTATCGAGTGTATGACAGACTCACGACTGCATTTCCGGACATCCTCTGGGAGGGCTGTGCCTCTGGCGGCGCTCGTTTCGACCCGGGCATCCTACAGTACTTCCCGCAGGTATGGACCTCTGACGACACGGATGCAGTGGAGCGCATCACGATTCAAATGGGCACGTCTCTGGTGTACCCGCCGTCGGCCATGGCCGCACATGTTGCCGCGGTGCCAAACGGTCTTACGCAGCGTACCACGTCGCTCAGCTTCCGCGCGCACGTTGCCATGATGGCGGGATCTTTCGGTTTCGAGCTGAACCCGGCGCACTTGGATGAGGAACACCGCAAGATGATACCGGGCATCTTGGCGCTGCAAGAGAAGATCAATCCCATCGTGGTCAAGGGCGACGTGTGGCGGCTCAATTTGCCCGACGACTCCAACTGGCCGGCGACGCTCTTTGTTTCCGAGAACGGCACGCAGGCGGTGCTCTTTTACTTTCAGCTCAAGGCGCACTTCAACAACTTATTCCCGACAATCAAGTTGCAGGGGCTGGATCCGCAGGCCAGCTACCGCGTCGACGGTAACATGACGCTGTCGGGATCAACGCTGATGCGGTTCGGGCTGCAGTATACGTTTGAGGGGGATAATCAGAGCCGGGTGGTGATGCTGGAGAAAGTTAGGTGAATCTAGGAACGGTTGTGTGTGAGGTGGCGCGGTTGGTGGCGATATTTAGCGATGAATTAGGGCAATTTGCATTTGATGTGATGAAGAGAGCATGGTGACGAGTATCGAGCCTGTGGAGGCTCCAAATACCGATGATACTGTAATGAAGAGAGGCTTGTTAGTGCGGCGTGCTGGGGCACTGTAGGTAGGTACCTTTCAGCGAGAATCACGTGGCCCAGGCTGTCTGTTAGTGCTCACCGGGGCTGCGACTGTTGGACAAGGCACGAGGAGGCGACACGAGGTCAAGATTCTCCGACCGAGGACAAAGAAACTGAATTGTGAACAATGGCATAATGGAGCCGTCATTTGACTCCATGGCTGCATGTCGGTTGTCGTCAAAAGTAACGTATACCAACAGGTAGACTAAGCTGGTACCTGAACGTAGGTGCAAATATCTCGCCTACGTAGGTACCGAGAAAGCGCTGAATGACAGGAGCCTCAGTGAGGTTATTAGTGCAAAGGCCAGCACCAGTAGGGGCCTTCAATAGTACGGATAGCACCGGTATACCTTTCAAAGTACCTTCTCACTACCCAAAATTGGCAAGATACATAGGTACCCTCCCTAGTCAGCACCTGGCCACTGCCATGTCTCGTCGCCAGCCGTTGCTCCGCTTCCCTGCTGACTCCCAAAACATCACCACCACCACAAACACACACCATACATAGGTACCAGGTAGCCGTTCCAATGCTACACGGGTCGCTTCCGTCTCTTGCTTTTGTCTGCTCGACTCTATAACGGCTTTTGTTCCCTCTTCTTACGCATGTTTCCCTAACGACAATTCTTCCTCGCCTGATTCGACTCGGTGACACCGCACTTGCCACGGGCTTTATCCCCTCCAACCATCTCGTCCAGTTGCTCCTCTCCCCCCATTCGAGCCCGTGCCCCCATCGCTGTTTCATCGCCCGCCGCCCAACGAACCCTTCGCCTGGCGACTTACTTCTGTCGGGGCATCACGCCCATTCGACTCTGACCGGACATTCCTTCGTCTTGATCCCTCTGACAAGCCTTGACCGCTTGCCTCGGAGCCCTCTCTCCATCGCAGCTGGCTGAACCGCCTGCGCCCTCCGCCGCGATGCGTCCCGCTCTACCTACGCCCTTTGGAACCGAGGCGCCTCGTTCGGGCGTCTCCTCGGATCAGGAAGACTCTCGCTCATCGTCTAGTGACTCGCCCGTTCCCGCGGACAATGAGGAGTCGGACTTTTTTCTCGGAGCTAATGACTCCCAGTCATCCATCGGTGTCGTCAACTTCCAGGACATGCACGTCGAGGACCGCTGTTGGCCCCCCGTTAACCGCGTACCCAATGAGATTCTTATCGGCATCTTCGCCAAACTCGGCACTCCGGCCGACCTCTTCAGCTGCTTGCTCGTCTCCAAGCGCTGGACTCGAAACGCGGTCGATTTGCTATGGCATCGCCCTGCCTGCACCAGCTGGAAGAGCCACCAAACCATCTGCCAGACTCTAGAGGCCCCCAAGCCCTTCTTCAACTACCGCGATTTCATCAAACGCCTCAATCTCGCCGCGCTGGCCGAAAGGATAAGCGATGGTAGTGTCACACCACTATACGTCTGCACCAGGATCGAGCGCCTCACTCTTACCAACTGCCGCGGCCTCACTGACGCTGGCATCATTGGTCTTGTCGAGAACAACACCAACTTGCTTGCCCTCGACGTCTCCAACGACAGAAACATTACCGATCAATCCATATATACTATTGCCGAGCACTGCAAACGTCTACAGGGCCTCAACATCTCCGGATGCGACGGCGTCTCCAATGACAGCCTCGAGGTGCTCGCCAAGAGCTGCAAATTCATCAAAAGAGTATGCTTCCTCTCGCCCTCCGCTGCATCATGCTAACTAGTCTTGCAGCTTAAACTCAATGACTGCACCCAGATTCGAGACAATGCCGTCCTCGCCTTTGCTGACAACTGCCCAAATATCCTGGAAATAGATCTCAACCAGTGTGGCCATGTCGGCAACGGTGCCGTCACCGCTCTCATGGCCAAGGGAACTTGTCTGCGCGAGTTGCGTCTGGCCTTCTGCTCTCTAGTTGATGACTACGCTTTCCTCTCCCTCCCTCCTACCCAGATGTTCGACCATTTGCGCATCCTCGACCTCACCTGCTGCACTCGACTCACCGACGCCGGCGTGAAAAAGATTATCGACGTCGCCCCTCGTCTACGGAATCTCGTTCTAGCTAAGTGCCGTCTGATTACCGACCATGCGCTCAGCTACATTGCCAAGCTTGGCAAGAATCTTCACTACCTCCACCTCGGTCACTGCGCCAATATCACAGACGAAGGCGTTAGGACGCTCGTCACGCATTGCAACCGCATACGCTACATCGATCTTGGCTGCTGCACTAATCTCACGGATGAAACGGTGAAGCGCCTTGCCGTCCTGCCCAAGTTGAAACGAATTGGATTGGTCAAGTGCAACTCTATCACAGATGAATCAATCTACACTCTGGCCGAGATTGCTACTCGCCCTCGCGTTAGGCGCGATGCCAACGGCTTGTTCATCGGCGGCGAGTATTATACCTCCAATCTGGAGCGAATTCATCTGAGCTACTGTGTCAATTTAACTCTCAAGGTATGTCGCTCCGTCCCATTGGCATCCGTATTCCTCTAACGTGATGCAGAGTATTCTCAAACTTCTCAATTCTTGCCCACGCTTGTCGCATCTGAGTCTGACGGGCGTCCCCGCCTTTCAAGGGGAAGAATTCACTCCCTTTTGCAGAGAGGCACCGCCTGGTATGTCTTATGATTTAGAGTATCTGTCAATTATCCCGCTAATGTTGTAGAATTTACCCACCACCAACGCAATGTCTTTTGCGTATTCTCCGGCAACCAAGTTTCAAGGTTTCGCGACTATCTTAACACTGCACGCCAATATGAAGACTTGCGCGAAAGTCTTGCGCCACGACGCCATACACGCGCTCGTCAAGTACCCAGTCAACTTCACCCCGCTACAGCAAGCGCTTTACCGACGGCTTTCGAGGAGACTTTCGACGACGACATGGGCGACGACAATGACGATTTTGAGGGCATCTATCCCAACGACATGCTGCCCAATGCTCCGTCGAATAATGGCTTCCCGAATGACGGCTTTCAAGGGAATGGTAACTTGCCCTCAATGGCTCACAGCCTGCCTATCCTGCCGGGCATAGACCCCTTGCCTTGGGACCTGCCCAGCTCACTGGCCGTGAATGGAAGCGGACTTCATCCCGGCCACTATGCCGCTACGCAGCAGAGCGCCAATACACAAGGACACCAAAGTCAGCAAACACCATTTGCGGCGTTGTCATCACTGATAGGTAATCCACCGCCATATGGTTCCATGGCGGCTCTCGGCCTCTCCCAAGCCAGCATGGCGGGCCCGGCGCCTAGTGGCTCTAGGCAGGCCAGTACGGCTAGCGCAGCGACGGCCACTGGAGCCAGCACGGCCCAAATGCACCACCAGGAACATACCGATGAGCAAGACAACATGACTGGCTAGAGACCATTCTGCAGAATAGGTAGACGCGCTACCCCCGGAGGTAACGCTCGCAATACCTTGTTACGCAGCCGCTCTCTTCCCCAGTCTGGCTTCAGAATATCACAGCGAGCCAGATACCGGTCAAGAAACACGGCTGGCCAGACCTCACGGCGTGTTTATTTCTTCTAGGCTATGGGGCTGCTCGCTGTTTTACTTTTTACTTAGCTGCGTAGCGCTGTTAATTTTAGGGTATGCTTTTCGACAGGGACACGGCATGGGCCCAATGCATGATGGTACAATACGACATTATTACGACGCTCGGGATGCGGAGTTTTCGTTTATCGCATTTCTCGCAAGGCAGTACAGCGAATATGCATGATAGCGCGAGGACAGCTTACAAGGGAGGGTTTGATGTTGACATTTTCCCGGTTCACAATGGTCGGCATATCTCCACAAGAATCAAACGGTCATGCCAAATCTAGTAAAGGAAAAGCTGGTCGTGGCAGGTCCCGGAGATACAGCTTTTGTCGGCACACATTCTTGGCCAAGACCCTACTTTACGGGCACTTTTATAGAAACATTGCACAGCGGAGGGAGGAAAGGAACATGGAACGTTTTGTAACACAGAATAAGATATGTTTACGCTTGAAGCGGCCTGCTCAGAATGAACTCAGTTCGTGATGTAGCCAATGCAGCTGAATTGATCTGCGCAATCTGCGCCCGAGATTGAGCTCTTCTGAAATATCTTTTCCTTTCATCAGCCAATTCTGCGCCATCTATCACCACGAATGAGTGGATGCACCTCTACTTGGTAAGTCTCAAAGCTTCGCGTCGGGTGCCTTGCCACCCAGTGAACGGCTACTGGTCGCGCCACGCCATCGGAGCTGGGGAGGCATATCAGTTTCCCAAGAATCAGGGCTATATTCCCACCAATGTACAGGTTCAAGCAAAAGTGGTATCTCTTATTAATCTAGCCTGTTACTGCGCATACAAAAAACAAGTGGTATCGCCAGCTCACTCAAACCTTTGTTGCCACCTTTTCTGTGCTGCTCAACGCCGAGACATCGGTCGCCACACCTAGGTCGTTGAAGTTGCGCTTAAGTTCGACGTAGTCGTACGCGAACTCGCCGAGCTGCGCGTCGTCGATGCCGACATCCTCATCCGTGGCGCTGACGCGGAGCGACAGGCCAGGCACGAGGTTCATGAGGAAGAGGATGACGCAGGAGAGAACAAAGGACCAGCCAAAAGCCGCGCAGGTGCCTGCCAGCTGGTAGCCGAGTTGCACCCAGTTACCCTCGATCCAGCCAATGGCCGCGTGTTCGCTGCCGTCGAGGTTGGCAATGTACGATCTAATGCGTGTCAGCGACATCCTCTGAGTCGTACCAAGGTTGAGAAAGAAGACTTACGCTCCGAAAATGCCAGTGAGGAGGTTCCCAACAATGCCGCCGACGCCGTGCACAGCAAAAATGTCCAGCGCATCGTCGATGCCAATGAGGAATTTGAGCTTTGTCGCAAAGTTGCAGCAGATGGCGCCGACGACGCCAATCACCACGGCTGCCCAGGTGGGAACGAAGCCCGCGGCCGGCGTGATGGCGACCAGTCCGGAGATGGCGCCGGAGCAGAAGCCGATGGTGCTCCACTTGCGCTCGAGGCGGTAGTCGAGGAGGACCCATGTGATGCCGGCGCAGGACGCGGCGAGGTGGGTGACGTAACAGGCCATGATGGCACGAATGTTCATGGCGAGCGCAGAGCCGCCGTTGAAGCCAAACCAGCCGACCCAAAGAAAGACGGTGCCGAGGAGAACGTTGGTTACGCTGTGCGGACGGTACGGCAGGCCCTGGTTGTGGGTGTAGCCGGCGCGCTTGCCGAGCATGAGGCTGTAGGCGAGGGCACAGGCGCCCGAGGCGACGTGTACAGGGCCGCCGCCGGCAAAGTCGTACGAAGGCAGCGTCATTAGCCATCCATTGGCGTTCCACGTCCAATAGGCAATGGGGTCGTAAACGACGGTCGACCATATGAACATGAAGACGATGGCGGGGAGCATGCGGCCGCGATCGGCAACGGCACCAATAGCAAGAGCAGGGCTATGGAAAACTCGTCAGCTTCTTAATATCGAAAACAAGCGCAAGTACGACTCACGTTATTGCGGCAAACATGCCCTGATAGAGGCAAAAGAGAATGTCGGGCGTCGCGTCGCCACCGTTGGGCTGCGCGAGCGTCTTCATCAGGCCAAACTGGGATAGGTCGCCCAGGAAGGCGTTGCCGGTGCGCGAAAAGGTCAGCGAGTAGCCCCAAAAGAACCACTGGAAGCCGATGACGGCGACGGACAGCATGGACAGAAGTACCAGCTGGAGGGCCGATTTGCGGCGGGCGAGGCCGCTGTAGAAGAAGCCAACACCTGGAATCATGAGAAGCACCAACAAGGCGGAGATGACTATGAATGTCATGTGGCCGGTCTGAATCGTTAGAAGAGATGGATAAGAAGAGAGGGTCTGCAAGGAACGTACGTCGTAAAAGATGTTGAGGTCGTCGACATCGCTGGAGTAGCCCGCGTCGGCGGTGCCAGTCGTGCCATTGTACTCGACAGCCGTGGTCATGATGGCAGTATACAGTCTGATGCCTTTACCTGTGGGAGGATCTTAAAGGGGAGTTGACGAGATGAAAAAGAAGCGGGGAGCGGCAGCATATATATCACTCGAGTCGGGTGGAATCCCGAGGTGTCGCATACCACGCCACGCTGCAGCCATAATCTCATGTGCCGAGTTTGAGATGTGAGAGTCCGCTTCCGGGGGAGCAGTAATCCAAAGTAACTTGAGGCAAACGTGCGCTACCGAGTGTGTGGGAAATCGATAACGACCAGTGCACCGTGTCGCGATAAGCAGCTGAGGAGATGAGGCGCACAAGGCGTCGAGATAACGGACTATTGGAGGTGAAAGCACGGGACACACATTCTTGGCGTAAAAGGGGAATGGTGCCCAGCTTCTTATCAGCGTATTGGTTGTCGGAAGGTGTCGGGAAATGCATTCGTGGCTGCCGAGCGAGTAGCAAGAAAGACGCCAACTAGCAACTAGTAGCAAGGGTTAGAGTAGTAAAGAGTATATTCCAACATAGTACGAAAGAAAAAGCGACAGAATAAATTGAATCGTCTTTCTTTTTAAAAGTCAGAAATGCAATTTTAAGAAGAACATGTATAAGAAGTAGCAGTAAGTGCGTCTTTTGTCACACACTGAGCGGCTTTGAAGTTGTACAGAGAGCTTTAGAGGCATCGATACCTTCGCCAACGAGACGAGTTGTTGTGCCATGGAATATCTGCATCGCGGCCTTGAACGTGTCTTTCAACGTTCAACAAACGGCGCGCAGAGAATAAACTTCAAGCCCCAGCTGTCAATGCGACTCCCCGCAACTGACAGCCTCATCCCCCAGCCAGTGACACTCAGCTTATCAGAAGCTCGTGAAAAGGTAGAAAGCCAGTGACAGACGGTTGATAGAGTAATAAAAGGGCAATGGTGGAGCTTATCTCTTGGCTTCCAAGAAGCTCCAAAGCCTCGCCGGCTGGTGCGACGCCACCAAACTACCAAAACGCCACCAACGAGATAACGGAACGAACTTAACCATTGGCCATAGCTTGAGCGGATTTGATCAAGAGAAGTTCGCAAAGGGGCAAAAACCGTATTTATTGTACAGGAAAGAGGGGGAATCGCTAAGATGCTTGCTGGTGGCCGGTGTCGCTCAGAATTAGATGCTCGAGTATTGCCTATTGTTCCTTGAGAAATGCGCCGGTTCGCTCAGATGATGCTTCGCTCACAAATGCATGGTATCCCTGCGCCCGACTTACTCAGTCCACCTGAGACTTCCACTCTACTTCCAGCTGCTCCAGCGCCGTCTTGACCTCCCACGGCACCTCCTCCTCAAGGATCCTCTGCTTGGCCGCCGAGATTGGCTCCAGCACATATCTAGCCACCGACTCCGGGTCGCGCGCCAGCGGCCGATCAATGCCGACCGCGATCCTCACGAGCGGCGACTGCGGGTACCTGGCCTCGGACACGGCCTTTTTCACGCTCTTGATACCGTTGTGGCCGCGCGGGCTGCGGTCCCACGCGACGAGTGCCGCCTCTCCAAGCGCCTTTTCCAGCTCGTCGTGTAGCACGACGAGGCTCAGCGACGCCGCGTCGTGCTGCTTGAGCATCTCTTGCCAGGCCTTGGCGACAAAGGGCCCGCTGATGTTCATAAGCGTCGGCGACTGCACGAGCGTGTACTTGGGACCCTGGGAGACGAGGCAGGAGAGCTTGCCGAGTTTGCCGCTTTGAATGCTTGATTGGCGCAGGGTTTTGGCCAGCCCGCGAAGGGCAAAGTGGCCGGCAGAGTGGAGGCTGGAGTACTCAGGGAGGGGGTTGCCGAGACTGATGATGAGGAACTTGGGGTTGAATTTTGACATGCTGGATGTTGGAGAATTGAGTTGCCCAGTCCCCTTTTTCCTTTTCCCCAGTGAATTGACGATGAAGGCGCATCAAGGTCGGTCGTGATGCAAGTCTCAGTAGAGAGTATCCCCAGTTCTAAGCCACGGCACCTGGCACTCGCCCGTACACACGCCAGCTCAATCGAGTGATATGCGAAATTGCCGAAATAATAGCGTTAAATCTTTTATGACACCCTTTGTGTTCTGATGCCTGATTTCCATATTCGTCCGACGACGCGAGCCGACGCCAAGTCACGTGCAAAAACTTGGCCGGTGATTTAGGCCTGCGGCCGTGGCTCAGCTCTCTGACGTCGATGAGCCCCATTTGAGGCGGCCGTTGTGGCTGCGCAGCAAATGGTCGTCAACCTTGGTTTTAGGCAATCTTACTCTTTCGTTGCATCCTGCTTTCGTCGTGAGTTTTTTCGACCACGCATCTTTGAGACGGCGCACTATCCAGTTATATCTTCAAACGCGAAATCTCTACGAAGTCCGGCATCATGTCCTGGGCCGGTACGCCATCTCTGCCAAGTCGAGCAAGATGAGGGGCTAATGTTTACCAGGATTCAAGAAGAATGTCAACCGCGCGACGACGCAGGTGATGATGAAGACGGGTCAGCAAAACAATGGGTTATCACAATAAATGAAGAAAGCGCTGACACAACTCAGGCCATGTCGAAAAAACGAATGATCGGGATTACGAGGTAGAGGAGAGGTACGACTACAATGCGCCGTCTTGATTTATTAGCTAAACAGTGTCAGACGCTTCAAAACTATGGAAGCCGCCTCGCTACGATTACAGAAGGAGTCCAAGGGCTATTTAGATTCACTCAGAGGTATTTTCCTCGCTTCTGCATCACCTAGCACGACTGACAGAGACAGCCATGACGGCATCGCAAATGCGAATTGCCGAGACAATCGACGCCTTCTACGGCGATTCCGGAGCGACCGACGGCGTTAGCCGCAGCTACAAGCAATCTGTCGAAGATCTCGACGCCGAAACCATCAAAGCCCTCGATGGCCCGTATCAGACGACGGTGCTAGAGCCCATTTCGCGATTCTGCGCTTACTTCCCCGACGTCAACGAGTGCATCAAGAAGCGCACACACAAATTGATTGACTACGACGCGCTACGCGCCAAGGTCAAGCGCCTAGTCGACAAGCCGGACAAGGACGCCACCAAGCTGCCGCGCACCGAAAAGGAACTCGACATGGCCAAGCAACTGTACGAGCAGCTCAACGAGCAGTTGAGCACTGAGCTGCCCCAGCTGATTGAGCTGCGCGTGCCTTACCTGGACCCCAGCTTCGAGGCGCTTGTCAAGATTCAGCTGCGCTTCTGCGCCGAGGCCTACTCGCGCATGGCGCAGGTTCAACAGTACCTGGATGCCGACACGCGTGATTTATACGCTGACGGCCAATTGGACGCCAGGGTGGAGGAGGTGCTCAACGAGATCCGGGAGCTGAGCATAAGCGGCACGGTATAATGAAATGATAAAAGGGTCGGGAAAACTCTGGGAGCCATGCATTGTAGTTTGCGGCGTACAAGTGATTTATTGGTTTTATATAGATGATAGCCTGCCAAGCAAACGGTTCAATGAACGCCAGATTGGCGCTTCCATTTCTTCTACTACTACTACTGTTTTGTTCTGATGACAGTCTCGGGATAGCTGACGATGTGAATGGCATATCTGGAGTGAATTTTTCTCATTAATATATCAATGCGCCATTTGCCATGCCCCAATGCACAGTCTTCCCTTCGACTGCTGTCCCTGCTGATTGATGTCCCTGCCAAGTAATTCCTGCAGATGCTGCCAACGCTACTTAATGTGCCTGATTCGGCACCTGACTTCCAAAAAGCTCATTCATCGTCAGAGGCCTTCCGATAGCCTGCATCGCCGGTCCAGCCTCTTGTCGCTGATCGTCCACGGCACCTGCCGATCGCACTACACCCCAGCACTCCTGAATCATGGCGGCGTTGACCTGCCGCGTCTCCTCACGGTCGTTGTGCATCCAAATACCAAGCACCCTCTCACCTCCCTCCCACGCGCCCTCTACCCGCAAAATGACTAGCTCCCCCGCGATCTCGACGTGGCTGACCTGGGCGAGGTCGACAATGACGTTGCCCAGGCCGCGGCGGTTCAGCACAAAGACGCACGCGCGAGGCGTGTTGTTGGGATCGCCGGGCAGCGGCGACTGTGTACAGACAAAGAGCGTACCCTCGACGCCCGACTTGTTCCAGGACTCGGTCGCGCTGTCGAAGGTGTAGACGACGGCGTTGGCGGCGATGCTGAGGATGTTGTAGATGGAGGGCACGTAGCGCTGGAGGACGGAGACGTTGAGCTCGGTGTTCGTGCGCGGCGGCGGCGGCGCGTACGTCTGTTGAGCGGCGACAGCGGCGGCATCTGATTCGTAGTCGGAGGCGGGGATGAGATTCGAGGACTGGCGGTTATGGCCACGGGCTTTCCGTGGTGTTGCGCGACTCATGATGTAAGGTGTTTGACGAGGAGGAGAGGAGAGGGGAGGGAGAGGGCAACGTAGAGGCCGTGGCCTATTCGACTAGAAGAACTGTCTCGAGTCTTGTCGGATCCTGTCGATACAAACCGGAGGGCTGATAGATTGTGCGTATCGTTGGGAAAAGACTCGAGTTCGCAAACACACATGTCTAAATTGAAGCCCAATCTACCAGCCACACTAAAGTCTACAACGTGGGCTTTGATCTGGTGGGTCTTTGATCCCGTCAACACGTCACTGTGGGGGAGGGACAATTCCCCAGCAGCCCAGGCGGCCCTCCTCCAAACAAGCGCCCCCAAGCCTCGTGCACTTTATATCTCCCAACTTTATTTTAATCCCGGCTATTGTGGCGCGGTCTTATTCTCATAATATATATACATAAACTATACCCACCACTCTCGGCCCTGCGTCATGATATAGCACGTCAGACAACGACCCGCCGACCTCGACTCAATCCGACGCAGATCGCAGCGCTCCTCGTGCAGCTACCACACGATGCAGACGGCGCGCGACAGCTCCATTCTCTCAGAGGCCGCTGAAGGCTCTGAAGCGCCCGTCTCTTCGCCGAACTCTCTTGCCCACGCGCTTACCCTCCGACGATCCGAATACATGGGCCAGCGCAAGCTGCGCGTCAAGATTGGTTCCTGGAATACGGCGGGCTGCCCCGGAACCGACAAGGATGTCGGCAGTTGGTTTTTTCGCGACCAAGGCCTCACAAATGAATTTGCCAAACTGGGTGTAGACGCCACCAATGATACTCCAAAAGCCGACGATGCGATCGACCTCTACGTTCTCGGCCTTCAAGAGGTTGTCGATCTGAACACCACAAAGGAATACGTGAATCGTGTGTACGCCGGGGAGAATGCTCAAATCACAAAATGGCGGTCAGCTGTGGAAGCTGCCATACCCGCGGGCTTCCAGTTCGTTTCGGCCGAGCAAATGGTTGGGCTGTTGACGCTTGTCTATGCTTCGAGCGACCTTGCCAAGCACATCACCAATGTCAGCACACAGCAAATTGGTACTGGCCTCCTCGGCTACTTTGGGAATAAAGGGGCCGTGGCGACTCGCATCGTTATTGGCGAAACCACACGCATGGTCTTTGTCAACTCGCATCTGGCTAGTGGCACAAGCTCGAGCTACCTTGACCGTCGCTGCTGGGACGTGGCGCAAATTGCCTCCAAGATGCAATTTGATCCGGTAGTGAATAACGGCGTTGTCGAGGATACTAGCGATCGATTCGGTGACGAAGACTTTGCCTTTTGGTTCGGTGATTTGAACTTTCGTCTTGGCACCCTCCCTGGCGATGACATCCGAAGGATATTAACGCTACATATGCGTGGCGAATACGACGTGAGCAGCCAAAAGCCACCACAGCCTCTTGATGGTGAGCCTGTTATTGTCATGAGGGATTCAGAAAGTGACGAGGAGACGATGACAGCTTCCTCATTCAGCCACAGCAGGGAGCAGAGCTTTGATTCAGCAACGTCTTTACCCGACCCAGACGATTTTCCCCAAGATCCCAGTCAGGATCCGGCATCGCTGCAGGCGACTCTGGATTCTTTGCTGCCCCATGATCAACTGCGCGAGGTCATTGCACGTCGCAAAGCCTTTCACGATGGCTGGAGAGAGGGCCCAGTTACTTTCTTGCCTACGTACAAATACGACGTCGGCAGTGTGGCGCTGTTTGATTCGAGTGAAAAGCGACGGGCTCCCAGTTGGTGTGATCGCATACTTTACCGGACCCGAGACTACAAGCAAGCGTTCGAAAAGAAGGCCATGGATGAAGAGACTGCCAAGAAAAGGGACGATGAGATGAAGTCTCGCGGGATCGAGGCGGATGAAGACGTGCTATTTAGCTACAATCCAGAAGAGGACGGCGAAGAACAGGAGCCGGAAGCATCTACCGACACGGGCTACGAATATGACGAATATGACGAGAACGATGATCATGACCAGACCGAAAGCATGGCCACCGATCGAGTGAAGCTAGAGTTATATACTTCATATCAAAGAGTCACATCTTCTGACCACAAACCGCTGTCATCCATATTTACGCTCACCTGCGACTGCGTGGTTCCAGAAAAGAAGGCCAAGGTCCACGCGGAGGTTGCGCGCCAACTCGACCGCGCTGAAAATGAAGGACGCCCTGTGATTACTCTGGTACTTGAGGCGGATTCCACGCAAGATGCCAATATCGTGAACATGGGTGATTTCGGATTTCTCTCGAAACAGAGTAACACCATCACTATTGCCAACACGGGCGGAGTACCAGCAAGCTTTTCGTTTATGGACAGACCGGCTATGGAAGACTCTGACAGCGGCATAGGGTCGCACGACTGGCTGTCGACCACATTCGTCAAGTCTGATGACAGCAGTGACGCCGTTGGGCCGAATGTCACACTCGAACCAGGAGAGACTGTGACAGCGATCCTCGACGGTCAGATCTCGTCGATCCCATTTCTTCGGGCCCTCAACGACGGACGCGCGACGCTTGAAGAAGTGCTTGTTCTTCGTGTTGATAACGGCAGAGACCACTTCATCACAGTGCGTGGCCAGTGGCTGCCGGGCTGCTTTGGACGCTCGATTGACGAACTCATCCGTGTACCGGAGGGCGGCATCCGCAAGTTTCTACAAGACAAGAAAATTCACGGAGCGATACCCTATGATTCCGACGTCCACTGCTCGGCACCGCGCGAGCTTTTTAAGCTGACAGAGGCCATACAGACGCTGGCCGAGCGCTGCGTCGCCGACGCCAACATGCTGGAGGATATGTCGCTGCCAGGCGACGCAGGCTGGCCCTTTGAGGCCGGGACCTGCGCCCTGGGAGCCGATGAGAAGCAAGCCGTGCAGTCTCGCATAGTCGGCGCGCTGGACACGGACGGATCTCTTGCCGAGGCGCTGCCCATTGAGCTTCCGTCGTCACACAAGCTTGAGCTTCTGTCGTCTGTGCTGCTCCTCTTTGTGGCGTCTCTCACCGACGGCCTTGTTACGGCGCAAATGTGCGCGCGCCTCGCCACCAACATTCCGTCCCTCGCGGCACTCCCGCCGAGCGCATGGCCCGACACCAAGATGAAGATTCTTGATGTGCTGTCCGCGGCGCCTAACCACAATATCGCCTTTGTCTTCTTGACGGCGACGCTCGCGCGCGTGGCCCGCGAGCTTATCCCCGCCACGACGGAGCCCCCCGCCGAGGGCCTCTCGCGGCGGCTGAGCTTTCGCAGGGGCGGCGAGACGGCGGACGGCGCGGCGGTCAAGAAGAGACGGGCGCGCGAGCGGCGCTACGCGGAGCTGCTCGCCCCGCTGGTGTTTCGCAGCGATGGCGGCGCAGAGGGCAAGGACAGGGCGGCGAGGGAGAGGGAGCGCGCAATGCTGGAGCTATTTCTGAGCTTGGAGATGCAGGACTAGGAGGGCCAGAAGCGGAGGAAATCAAGGCGACGAAGAGCAAGGCTGGCGCGCAAGGTGAGGATGGCGTGGCGGCGGGTGTGATGATCACTGGTGTTATGGCGTTGATGGTGATGGTTGGGATAGGTTACTTTGTTGTACATGTTACTCGATACAACTTTTACAGTTTCAATAGTCTAATTTTTACCGGAATTTCTGTTTACATTTTGATTTTTAGTAGTTCACACTCTCAAAATGTCTTCTTTTGTTGTACACGACGAGACAAAACGCCACAAGCCGAAGGCGTAAAACAAGTCTCTGATATGGCACACGACAGGTATGTTCCACGCCATCGACACCATTCGGATTTCTTGTCCAAAAGCCAGCCCTGCAAATCTTTTTGAAGTCACACTGTGGACCGAACCCATATGTGGCTAGCACGCTCGAGTCGGCCGTGGATTCTTGTCTCGGACTCCAGAATTGACTTTTTCTCTTCACCATGAGCAAGCGGCAGTAGCATGCATCGGAAGGATATGGATCATAATAGCACGGGATTTCGGGGGTGGAGACTACATGGTGGCTAGAGGCGTGAACGGCATCACGCGATGGCAAGCGAGTAGATCAGTGGGTGAGCCTGGCACACCTGGTAGTTGACCGTCTGGGTTGTGTAGCGCACACGTCATATGACAGTGAGACTGATGGACTGACTATTTTCTAGGAAAATGCGTAAAGGTGAAGAAACGGAAGAGGCATTAGTGGGCAATGGGAAGAGCGATGATGAGGCGCAATCACGACGGACACGGCTCGTGGTCGCCAACCAGCCAATCCATCTCACCAGGAACGATTTTCTTCAAGAATCTGCGACTATTGTCTGATCATGCCGTGTACGAGCCTGAACAGGAGGGGGACAGGGAGAATGGCTGAAGTGAGCGGGGACGCTATCGGCAAGGTCGTCAATGTGCATGTCTCAGAGTCGCCAGGCAGCACTTTGAATTGAAAGCACTTCGGTGTCAGCACTCTTTTGCACGAAGCCTCGAAATGGCAGCAGACCATGGGAGGATGAGGTTACGCTGGCACGATGGGATCCCAGAGGGGGTGACATGGGCTGAATGTGAATTGTAGAGCAACGATGGATCGCAAGATGGGTGACTGCGAGGACGGGGACCGGGCGATTATAATAATCCACACGTGCATGTCGGAGAATAGAAGCATGTGAATAAAGAGACAGGTGTAAGTCATTTCTGGCTTTTTGGACGAGGGAGATGCACTGTCACGGTGGCAGTGCATGAGGACGATGATGGGTAGGCAGATGAGATGATGCAAGGACCAGGATTCGTGTGTAGCGAGCCCTACGGATATCGAGTTGCATCTGCATGAAGCAGGTCTGAAACGTTATATATGATAAGAGCAGTCATATTACATGTAATGTATACATGATGATGGTGGGATGTTGTAGAGCATCTAGATAAGGAGCTGGCTAGTGACAAGTGGTGCTCGCTTCTCTGTACATGGTCTTCAGCACCAAAGAGACAAGTCGTTGACCGGAGCAATCGACTCAGTAAAGCAGCAGTTTCGTACGAGACAATATTAGACAATGGAGGCTGTTGACGTCAGTCGAGGGACGAGGTCGCACTTGGGGGAGTCACAGTGTGCAGCGGAGGTTTAGGTTATACATGTCAGGGCACGTTGGAATGCTCCGATGACTGGATGTGCAATGCAGGAACAATTGAAAAAAAAAAAACTGCAGCAGATGACTTGCAGAAATTGCTTGAATTCTTCATCGCCTGTTACGAATTTAGAATCTGGTGAAAGTGGCGGAACTTGTCGGACAAGCGGTCGGTCCATCGGACGTCTTCTGTCCACTTTGCGGCGGGTGCTGGCCTGTTGACTGAGTCGTAGACTCGCCGATGGTAAATTATTAGACTGGAGCGCATCGAGGATCCCGATCGGACCACACGTGACGAGGCAGCGAAATTAGGCGACAAAGATGGAATAGTCGGATTTCGGAATGAAGACGGATGGTGTCTACCAGATGGGTAATGGAAATGGATCGTGGTGACCCCCCCCCTCTTGCCAAGTGGTGAGAGGTGATGCAGCACGGATTAGCGTCGGTTCCGAGGTCAAGCAAGGCAACTGGACGAGTGGCGGCCTTGGGCGTAAGCACTTGGTGGGTGGAGGTGACGTTGCAGACATGATGGCTGGGCTGAGGTGATTGATTACTCGCTCGTCATAATAATGTACTCAGTAGGTAACTATGGCAGGAGGGCCAGAAATCCTGCAGCGCGGAAAATAGGTCAGATGGCATGATTTTACATGCCGACTAGGCGAGGTGGACTGCGGCAGTGGGAGAGTGGACAGTGATCGGTGGGAAGAATGTATTGGCGGTTGAGAGAATGCGAGGATGTGAGAGGTGGGCGGATAAAGCGTGTCTATGGTATGTGATATTTTGTTTGGGATTCATTGAAATTTGACGTGTTGACTGTCGTCTTGTTGCCTTTGCCATCGTTGCGTGAATTGCCTCAGCAAGCTGAAGTCACGTACAGTGCAAAAGCCAAGTGACTGCAAACTGTGCATACCCTTACTCATTAGGAGTCGGTTACAGTGTGTACAGACTCATCACGCACAGTGGCAACAAAGTCGTTAGCCAGGACGTTTGCCCCATTTGGGCACCGCCTCTTTTTCTTCTCTTGCAATTCTTGTTTTCTTTTTTTAAACTCCTCTCTTCCTCCTCTCTTTAGCGCAAGTTGATGACCCCTCTTAATCCAGAGGCCAGTGCTTCCTGCTGGCCATTCACAGTCAACGACGCGCTGACTGTGGCTGCGGCAGTACCCAATCATAAGTAATTTTCACTTTAATGGGTCCAAAAAAAAAAAACGCCTTGTTAAAGGCCGCACGCGCTTGACTTCTTTCTGCTGGCCCCAGAATATAAGCTAAACTGGATTGACGCTTCCTTTTTTTCTTTTTTCCTTCTGGCTGACACCGTGACACGGGGCGAATCCACTTTCTAGCTCACCTTTATTGTTTTTCAACTGCTTAATTTTCTTAGTGAATTACTAGTAAATGGCCGCATGGCATTCTTAATTCATGCTCGCGCGTCGCCCTTGGCTCGCTGTCCGCCGTCTCGGGCGCCCACCTCTTTTTCGCTATTTCGCGTATCCTTTTTTAGTCGAGAAAGGCGTTGAGACCTTCCACTGTAAAAAGCCATTCCCTAGGTTGTTCTACCGCATCCCCTCGGTGACACACTGTCCCCTGCCCACTTGCTGCCCACATCGTAGGCGACGCCGAACAGGGGCGAGCCTTGGACTGAGGCGTTCTATCCAGTAACACAGTAATAATCTGTAGTTATGCCAGTCCCGTATTTGTGTAGCACCAAGTCCCTGTCTTGTAGACACTCATCCCCTGCCTCTCGATTTTTATCACCTACAAGCCGACCCTCTCAAAGGACGTTGCATCCCGTTCCCTCCCGTCTGTCGCCTGTCCCGCCTGTCCGCTGTCCGCCGTCCTCCTTGTCCTCCCTCCCACTCTTGCCCCCTCGACCTGTCCCCGTCAACACGAGACCATTTGGATATTCCCAATTCATCACCTGCAATTCTGTTCATCTGTAAACTCTACACTCTGTTTCTTTTACACAAATTATTTTCCCACCCCAAACTGCACAACCGCCGCCTCACCACCGACACCACCTCATCCACCCCCAGTCGTCCCCGCGTTTTGGCCCGCTGCAAAGGCCCGAATAAAACCTGCAGCCACCCACACTCGACTCTTGTGCCAACAACTCCCCGTCTTCTTCATCCCCGCAACCCCGGATACCAGTACATTTGAACCATCACCGACTCTATTCCCTATTTGCTTTCTTCATTCTCTATACTCTATCATAACTCGAGCAGCAATTTTCACCTACGCTGTCCCATCCCAGTCCCATTGCTTCGCCCATTGCCTCCTCCACCACCCAAACGAGGCTCCAAACGAGGACCCAAACGAGGCTTGGCTCCCCGTCACCCGACAGCCACCCCCCCCCAAACCCCCTCCGAAAATCCTTCACCCGCTCCCGACTCGCCTCCTTCATCACCACCGCCCACGCCATCAATCTGGACACCTCTCAACATGTCCCAGGCTGTTAAAAGAGCCTGCGATGCCTGTCATCGTCGCAAAGTCAAATGTGACGGCATCAACCCCTGCCGCAACTGCTCCTCCGCCCAGCTCTCCTGCACCTACAATGCCATCCCTCAGAAAAAGGGCCCCAAGGGCTCCCGCGCCAAAGTCATTTCCGAATTACGCGAGACCCAGCGCCTCACCTCTCTTTCCGCCAAGGTCCAGAATCGCATGAATGGCATCGCCTGCCCTCAGGCCAACTCTCTCACCCCGACCCCGGGCATCGTCACCTCAGATCTCGTCAAGGACTGCGCCACCTTCTTCTTCGACCACATGTATCCCCAGGCTCCCATCCTTGATCGCCGGCAAGTCGAACACCAGCTTCTTTACATGGAGCAAAATCGTGACGCCTACTGCCTCATGACCGCCATGTGCGCTTTTGTCATGCTCCAGCCCGGCATGTCCATGCCTCCCGGCGACCCCTATAACCTCGACATGGTTCCCGGCGCCAACATCATCTCCTCCCAGCTCCTCCTCGAAGAAGCCCACAAGGTCCGCAAGGGCTACGAATACCTCGACTCCATCACCTTCAACGCCCTCGCCACAAACTTTTTCCTCTTTGCCTCTTACTATGGACAGGAAATGCACGACAAGGCCTGGTACTACCTTCGCGAGGCCACCACCATGATTGCCATGATTGGCATGGACACTGAGGACCACTACCTACAGTTTGACGCCGTCGAATCCGCCCGTCGCCGCCGTCTCTACTGGCTCTTTTACTCTGTCGAGCGCGCCTACGCCCTTGGCCGCGCCCGTCCCATCACTCTCAAGCCTACCATCAATCTGCCCACACTCGCCGACGACCCTTCGGACCCTCTGGCTCACCAGCTCCACAGCTTCATCGTGCTCGTCAACCTCTACCGTCCCTTTGACGACGCCTTCATCACCCTCTGGAACAAGACCCGTACTCACCTTTCCGCTCAGTACATCGGTGGCCTGCAGAAGCAGCAAAATGACCTCTCCCAAAATTACGCCTGCCAGGATCCCAACTTTGCCGACTTCCGCACCAACCAGCAGTGGCTCAAGAATACTGTCTGGCAGCTTACCAACGGCGCTAATGCCAACGCGAAAGACAACTCATTTTACAATGGCGACATGGCCCGCGATCTGCTACTCAACCTGGCCGCCTCATTCCCCAACCAGGGCCTGGACATTGTCAACACTGGTCTCATTGAGAAGCTCGTCGAAGCCTCCTGTTCTCTCACCGAGTTCCTCTCCATCCAACCCGCCTCCCGCGATCCCTTTGCTATTGGACCCCGCGAGTATCTCAATCAAATCCTTACCTCAGTCGCTCTCGCCCGCGCCGGCGAGCGCCGCTTCCTGCCCCTGCTCATGAGCAAGCTGTCCGACATTCTACCCCGTACCATCAACCCCATGCTGCAGAATGCCCCCGAAAACGTCAACATGGCCTCGGTTGACATTTTTGACGGCTTCGGCAACGCCGGAATGGCCCAGCCTCCGATGCCTATGATGGACAGCGACTACGTCGACAGCAAATATGCCATCGACATAAACCACCACACCCCCGACTCCAACTCGCACGCCAACCACACCCCGCCCGGTTCTGGCTCCGACATGGCCAACTCGTTTGTCGCCTCGCCCGACATCATGTCACCCACCGGCATGGACTACTCCAACAGCAACAATAATCTCTCCATCAACACCTTTGGCGTAAATCCCATGCAAGAGATGGTCAGCCCGGTCGGGCCCTCACCCCAGCACATGCATATGCGTCAGGGCATGCCCATGACCAACATGATGCTCCAGCGCCAGAGCAGTTTCATGCAAAGCAACGACTATCATTCCATGCCTGGCGAGATTGATTTTAGTTCTCTGCGGTAACCTGAGAACAAAGGCGACGATATAACGACTCGGTACACAGGAGACCTTGTATTAATTAGCATATTTTTGTCCATTCTCCCCTTCACTTTTGTGCGGACTCTGTTCTTCCGCTACAAGAGTGTCCATGATTTCTTTGCATCTATTTTGTCGCACAGGGGCCTCGACCCCAGGCGTTTTATACGTGTTGGACCACTGCAATGTTGGAGTTTTTGGATTCTTGTTTCTCAGCGGAGCGTGCTTGAATTATCGGCGGATAAAGATGTTTCATACAAGAGTCTTACTTGGCATTTCCTTACTCATATCTCTTTGTGGTTGCATTTCTGTACGAGTTGTTCATCTGCCTTTCAAGTTGGACAATTGGCTTGCATCAATGCAGAGGAGAAAAAGCTTAGCATAGTTGGATGTCAAGACTGTTTTATTACCTCTTTCTTATCTCTGTGACGACTGAAAGTATACATGTATATGTAGGAAAAGCAGATCAAAGTAAAAAAAAGTAAAAAAAAAACGAGTAAAGAGAAACACAATAATGAATGACGGTAGCGTAGCTCGTCATCATGTCCGTCGCAAGCCTCTCATTCTGAGGCAATAGCTGAATTGTGAATCAGGAGGAAGAGACAAAGGAACATGCTCCTGCAAAAAGAAACTGTTACTCTGCATCTGTCGTCAACTCGTCAACCTTAACCATGGGATAAGAATCACACCAACCAGCTCTCCTCCATCATTGTACGAACCATCTCCCAATATTAATTTCCTGATACTTGCTAAATTTAGTTTCCCAGTACTGATGACTATTGTTTCCGTACATCTCCTAATATTAATTGCCTCTTATTTGCCAACATTAGTTTCCTATTCATTAGATCCTTCCCGTATCGTCTTCATCATCATCGTCATCGTCATCATCATTTTCATTCATGCACACATCCATCATCCGTGCTCCGTCGCCGTTTAGAGCTTTGGTATATCCATCCTACGCTTAATCCCCTCCCACAACCACCTTTTACCTAGCTCTTGCCCATGACCGCCGCCACCGCCAGCGTCTCGATTCTCCCCGCGTACAATGCCATCATGTGCGCCACCGGATCCCCCCAAATCACGCCCCTCAGATCCGCCTCGACGCACGTCACCGCCCGCGTCCCCTCCGCGAGCCGCTCCTCCACAGTGCGCTCCCTTCCCGCCGCTGCCGCAGCCGTCGCCGTCATCGGGTCTCCAGCCCGCAGCACTACAATGCGCCCGGCGTTGCTTAGCCTACAGTGCGGCACCGGCCAGTGCACCTGCTCATTCCGTCGCCTTGGCAGGCTCGGCGCACCGTCGCTCCGCCACCGCTGCTGCCTCTGGCTGTCGCCGGGCCCCGCCCTGTCAGGCAGTTCTCGCCGCTCCGGCGCGGGCTTCGTCATCAAATCTAGCAAGCTCTTGACATAGGTCTTGTCCGCGCGCGCGACCGGGTCGCCCTCGTTGACAAAGGCGAGAAAGAGACACTTGCGTAGCCTGTGCGGATTCCTGTCCGGCTTCTGCAGCGGCAGCAGGCTGATGGGCGGCGCGCCAAACGTGACGCAGTGGATGCGCCTGAAGCATCCCGCCAGCATGTTGAGCTCGCTCTCCGTGCCCGGCGCCGTCGCGAGCATGTGCATGTACAGCAGCGCCGCGACGGCGCCGCCCGCAGAATGTCCTGTAATGAGCAGGCTGTACGCCGCGCGACCCGGCGCTTCCTGCAGCAGCCGCCTGAGGCGCGCTGCGACGGGCTTCACCATGTTGCGCGCGACCGACAGGAAACCCGCGTGGCAGAGATTGCCAGCGTCATCGAGGAAATTCTCCGGTGACGATAGCTCGGTGGAGAGATTGACGGCCCAGTCCATAAAGGACGAGGTGCCGCGGATGGCAAAGACAACGGCGGCGGCGTGGTCCATGGGCACCGACTTGATGCACATGGCCTTGGTTCCTGCCCGCCAGTCCGATGCGGTGTACGTTTCCTCGTCCTGCCCCTGCGTGTCAGGGGCGTATACCTGTGAGGAATACTGCGCCGCAAGGCACAGCAGCGGCCACGTCGGCATGTACAGCGCCAGCGGCGGCATGTCCAGCGGCAGCTTGGAGTTGGCGTACAGCTCGACCTTGGCGAAGCGGCTCGCTTTGGATCTCGACGGTTGCTGCTGGCCACCACCACCACATCCGCCAATCCGTACCAGCGCGCGCTCCGCGGCGGCGGCGATGGCTTGTGGTTCCGGCTCATCGTCGCCGTAGCACAATAACAGGTTAGCCTCGGTGGAGGACACGGTCTCGCGGTCGATCCGTGTCATGACGTCGTCGAGGCGTGCCGACACGTCATCGTAGACGTCCCGCACCGCGCTGTCGGCGATGTGCATAACCGAATCGGCCCAGCGACTCATGCCGACACGGGAGTCAGACGTGCGGGGGGGCTGGGGCCGCGCTGGCTGCTGCTGCTGCCGCCGCTGCTGTTGCTGTTGGCTCGGCCACTGCGGGGGGAGGTGGCAGCAGCACGGGCTGGGAGTAGCTTGCGTGCGGGTTACCATACGGATGATGGGCATACGGCCGGGTAGCGGTGTACGGCCGAGGCGGCGGCGGCGGCGACGACGAATAATGCTGAAGAGGTGGTGGTGATGAATATTGCGGTGATGGATAGTGCTGTGGTTGTGGTGGTGGTGCCGGCCGGCGCGACGGCGCATAGGCTGTTGGGGGGTCGAAAACGTTCCACGAGGTGGATTTCTGAGGTTTCTTCTTCTTGCTGCTGCTGCTGCTGCTGCTGTTGCTGCTGAACCAGCCCATCATGTTCTACATCCCCAGGTAACGCGCGGGATGTTGTGCGAGGTGAAAGAGGGGTCGCAGGCAGGACAGGCAGGAATGCTTAAATGTTGTGCGGCCGTTCGAGGCTGACTTGCGAGGTGGGGGCACATGACATCTGGATCCTGATCGGCCCGGGGAAGCGGGAGGCGGGACACTTGTTGACCACTCACAATCCGCGCCCTGAATTTAGGTTGGTGAGGGCACTGAGGGGTTAGGCAGTCGGGTTCGCAATCGGGTTCATGGTGATGGCATCATTCACGACTCGAGACCAAGTTAGAAATCATCAACATCTTCGTCTCAACTTTCTTTCCCTGGGTATATTTGTCATCAGCGTCGCTCTTTCCCGACTTCGCTTCTACAGTTTCGGCTTGCTCATGGGATCATGTATTGATGCCTAGGTAGTTGGCGACATCGGATGAGCTAGTCACTCGACACGTGTAAGCGCCCGTGCTGACTGCGTATAAGCCTGCCCCTCCAGCTTCTCCCCTGTCGGTCAGTGGTAAGTTGGTGCGCCTGACGCAACTGCATATTTCCTGCAGTTTGCGTGGGAGCAGCCTTGCATCTCATGCAGCAGCGTTGGTACTGGTAACACCACGGTTTCTACTTTAAGGATGGTAGGGTCCTTTATCACTATTGGGCTTTGAATGGTGGGCAAAAATGGGAAGCTGTTAATTGGTGATTTTTTGCCGACTCTAGAAAACAATTCGCCTCGACTTGAAAGAGGCAAAAAGAGAATGACTATTACTCTTCGAGCCATATTTAAAGCCCCCTGCTAGCGCAGTCCTTGGTGGGAAAAAGAAAAGAAAACAATATTGCCAGTCTATTCGTACTACCGCCGACCGGGCCATCGGCAGCCCCTGCATAGTTATACTTACGTCTACCTCTAAAGTAACAGTGAAATTGTAGCAAAAATTATGCACTATATTAGACTCACTAGATAACCTCAGAATGAGAGTGAATGCTCGATTTGGCCCGGCGGAGTAGATATTAAACACAACTATAAATTAGTAGTATTATGGTGGTGATTTCCAAACCCGTGCGCCGTATATGAATGAGTTCTTGTAATTTGTGCAAAATGATGGGGATTTTGGCGGGCGCACTATGCTACATCCGGTACGATTGGCAATTTATGCAGACAACAGCCCGTGGACTCCTACAACTTGGAATTAGGCCTTACACATGCTTATGTCACCAGCCTGACGCTGTGGTTTCAATGTTAGGTCAAGACGGTTAAACTTTAGCTAATGAGCTCCTAAAGGCTGACTTATTGATGACCAACGGCGAATTGCTTTTCCAAAATCACCTGTCAATTATGGGAAAGGACTTTAATTTAAAGCTTTATTGCGGGGTCTATCTGTATTTAACACGGCGACGTCAGGTCTTGCCAACGTTGGCACAGACACAAACCGATATCATATCATCGCCGACATGACTTCTACATTGCCTCGTGCCAAATTCCATCCAAGTGCGTCGGACGCGCTACCTTCGCCCCAGGCTCCCGACCCATTCGCCGGCCGCATCGGCGCGAATCAACAGTTTTCTCTCGATAGGAGCAATTCTACAGATAAAGAGGTGTTGGAAAAATGCCCCGATGCTGCACCATGGATCCCAATAAGAGATACCTTTTCATTTGAGCAATTTCTTGAGAAAGGATTATGGAGAGCGGCCGTCGTTGAGGGGCTAGGTATGTTGGCATGGACGGAGCAACATGTCATGGAGATTTAACACCATATACTTTCATTACTAGGAACCTGCTTGCTAGTATACCTGACTATTATTTTCCCCGTGGGTCTGGTAGAGAATATGAAGTGAGCCCTGTGACCTTGGCGCTTCAGAGATGTGCTAACTCGGTATATAGGGACCTCCCGACCGGCCCAGTTGTGCCTAGTCTGATTGGTAGTGCGATCGTGCTGTTTCTGCTTCCTCTATTTATTTTTACTCTCGGACCTGTCTCCGGGGGTCATCTCAATCCGATGATTACCATAGCAACATTCTTCAGCCGCTTGACGACGTTTCCGAGGTGCGTTCTCTACGTTGCATTCCAGACATTCGGTTCAGCTATCGCCGGCTGGCTAGTAAGGGCGTCCCTTGATACACGATCTGTATGTTAAATCACCGACGCGCCTCAAAGTGTTTCCTTCACTTGTCTCACCAACCGACAGTTTATAGTACCTGGTTGTTATATCGACCTTGCCAAAGTCTCGGTCGGCAGCGCATTCGTTATTGAGTTTGTCACGGACCTGGCATTAATCCTCATAACATTTGGCGTTGGCCTTGATCCTCGCCAGCGTGGGGTATTTGGGCCCACGCTGGGTCCCATATTGATTGGAATTGCATTGGGAGTGTGTATTTTCTCGACTAGCATTATTCGCCCTGGGTATACCGGGTTCTGTATGTGATCTTATCCCACTCGACCGTGGGAAACACATGATCTATGTGCTAACAAAGAAATAGCAGGAAATCCCGGGCGATGCTTCGGCACCATGGTCGGATCTCATTTCTCTTCCTACCATTGGATACAGTGGATAGGGCCGGTGTGCGCTTCTATCAGCCACGGGCTACTGTACTATTTCGTTCCACCATACGAACAGAAGTAGACTGCACGCGTGCTTGTTCATCTACCAGGATGCTGTTCAATCCAATCTATACTTGAAAGAAGGTTAGGATAATCGACTTTGTCCTCGGCCCGGAGTTGCGTTGAGATCCGGCTCGACACCGTATAGATGAACAATGCTACCTACCACCACGGTCAACGGTGTAGAAATGTAGGAGAACTTTAGCGTCATAGCGGTGCTTCGTTTTTCAGCTCTTGAGGAGGGATTCGAGGGTCTTACATAGTCAATTTGATGCTTCGTTCGACTTGATGCATCCTTCCGATCGACATATTTTTTTTACACCTTTATTGGCTACAATTTAGCGCGCTTTGATATAGCCCGTGACATTTTTTGCTAAAAGAAGTTTTTATGTTGTTCTTATAGAAATATATCAATTTTAAACCGAGCATGGGCGAATGACAATTGTGGTAGACTTGGCAGCGAGGGGCACTGAACCAGGATAAGCCGAGCTATTGTTGGCAGGCACGCCTCGGCTCGCTGACTCAGCCAGGACCCTCATCAGCCGCCACACCTTCTAGATAGCCTCTCTTCTCTTTCTCTCCTACATACACACATTTATTAGGTCTTTACTTTAGCTTATACCTCACTATATAATTCCGTCACTCTTACTCTCTTTAATCTACCACATAATAGTAATTACTATTTTTTACTAATTCTAGCTACTAGAAAAACGTTATCTCTACACTATAAGCCTTAATATAACCTTTTTTATTAGTTTTCTATTAAAAATAAAAGATTAATAACCTTTAAGATTAAGCCTAGCTCTCCTTTACCTAATCTTATCTACTAATATATTATTATACTATAATATACTATAAGAATAATAAGGTCTAAGCTATATCTATTACCTAAATATAAGCTATCCTTAAATACTACTATCTCTTAGCCTAGATTTATTCCTCTTATTTAATCTTTAAAAGGTTAAGGATATATTAGCTTATTTTAAGCTTTTCTAGTTAACTTAAAAACCCCTTATTACTCTATTTTAACCCCTTACCTCCCTTTATTTAAATAATACTACTAGATATATAATAATCTATAATAAAACCCTAATTAAAAAAGAATAAATAACTAAGAGATAGTTAAGGTTATTTTATTAGAAAAACTAACCTAATTACCTTATTAGAGATAATATTATAATCTTAAAGTATATTCTTATCTTTAGTACTAGACTTAGTAGAATCCTTACCTCTTCTTATTAAAGAATAGATTAACTAACCTCTACTCCTTTTTCTTAAAGAAGAGCCTATAACCTAATAACTTATAACTTCCCTTACTCCTCTTAGACTATACCTTTTCCTTAACACTAGTTAATAAAATCTCTTTAACTAATAAAGATAATATTAGCTTCTTAAACTAGATATTAGATCTCTTTACTATAAAACGCCTTTATTTAGTATAAGGAAATAAAAAAGACTAATAAAGAATAATATAGACCTTTCCCTTATAGAAGAAATAATAATATTACCTAATTCCCCTTTAATAGATAAATTATTAATAGGAAACACTCTATAGAAACTACCCTTACCTAACCCTTTTAGATACTAGTATTTAAGATTACTATCCCTTATTAATATAAAATTAGATACTTTATTTTATATCTCTTCCCCTATTAGTATATAATCTATACCCTTTTTATATAACCTAATTAATAATAGTAGTATAGTAAAGACTATACTAATAATATAGTATATTAGCTTAGACTATAAAAATAATATTATATAAATTTAGATAGTTAAGTAAGAAATAGTTAAAAACGCTTATTATAAGCTTTACCTTATCTTAGAAGCTAATAATAATAAGGTTAAATTAGCTATTACTATTATTTAAAGTATAAAGATAAAAGAATAATAATAACTTAAAGCTTATACCTTATAAGACTTAATTATAAATTAGGCTCCCCTTAATAATATAGCTAGAATAATAGAATTATTTAAATAATTCTTAATAAGCCTAAATATTAATAACCCTCTAGAGTCTCTTATAAGAAATACTTCCTATTATTCCTAGTATTCTAACTATTCCTATTATTATATAAACTATTCCCGCCTATAATTACCTACTATTTCCCTTAGATAAGGATAAGAGATATAAGATAGACTACCCCCTAGTTTTTACTAATAGTTTAAACTAAAGGTTTTAGTATATAACTCTAAGAAGATAGATATTATCTTTTATATTAACTAGATTAGATAGATAGCTAGTTAGGTAAGTACTAACACTATTTTCTAAAATATAGCCTTTAGTTTATTATTTAATTAAGAATTAGATAATTATACCTAGTTTATTAGCCTATTAAAGTTTACTAAAGCTTAACTAGGTAAAGACCTTAATCTATAGATTAAACTCCTATAAGAATACTTTAAATATAACTATAATATAATTATAGAGGAAGTAGATACCCTTAAATACTCCTTTACTACTAAGGACACCTTAATACTTTAATAGTATCTAGACTATAAGAAAGCTTTCTACTATAAGGCTAGTAATATAAATAAAGACTAGATAGCTTATTATATTCTTTATAACTCTAACCTAAGCCTAGTAGTTTTAGTTAATTCTATAGATAACTTAATAATAGACTTTATTATCTATAAGCTACTTATATATTACTATAAAGCTAGAAGAGCCTAGGAAGCTTAATAAGATATAATAAAATAGATAATTAAAGCCTAGGCCTAAACCTTATATTTACTATATAAGGAATTATAATAGCTATAGGATAGGGATTCTCCCTAAGATAGCTACCCTTATTAGTAAAATAATAATAACCACTAGAATAATTATCTTTAACGCCTAGAAGGTAAATTTAATAACTATAAGGATAGTTATCTTAAATAATAGGAAGCTAACCCTAATAATTATAAAGATAGATACTAAGACTAATCTCTATACTTTTATAATTATTATTATATAAATTAGGAAGATAAGCCTTATAATAGATATAATAGTAAGCCTTAGAATAATTACCCCTAGAGATAAAAAGACCTTTATAATAATTAGATATATAAATATAATATAAAAAGGGAATATATATAGCTAATAAAGCCTATTATAAATAATAAGACGCCTTCTACTAGATAACTAGTAACCCTATCTATAGATTAATATAAAAAGGTATTTAGTA